CCCGTCATTTTGGGTACAGATTGGCCGGGGTTTGATAAGCTAATGGCGGAGGCTCACCGCCAACCCGGGGAAGTGTGCAGTTTGACGGGTGGAGGTACGGTATTTGGGGTACCTCTTGGGGGACGCGCAGGAGGTGGACAAGGCGGCAGCTATCGGTGCCTGCCTGTGACCCAAGACAAAAAAAGAGGTGAGGCGGTTCTTGGGGCTGGCGGGGTATTACAGGCGGTTCATCCCCGGCTTTGCGGACCTCACCAGCCCCTTGACCGACCTGACCCGGAAAGGTGCGTCAGATCTGGTCCAGTGGTCGGAGCAGTGCCGGCAGGCGTTTGAGAAGGTAAAGCAGGCTCTCTGTGGGAAACCACTCCTTCATACTCTTAACTTCTCTGTCCCCTTTATTCTGCAGACTGACGCATCGAACAGGGGGCTGGGGGCCGTTTTGTCCCAGGAGGTGTGGGGGGGTGGACAGCCCCGTGGTGTACATCAGCCGGAAGCTGTCCGAGAGGGAGGCCAGGTACAGCACAGTGGAGAAGGAGTGCCTGGCCATCCGGTGGGCGGTCGACTCCCTACGCTACTACCTCCTGATGCTAATGAAGTTAGCTAGCTTAGCATGACAGTCAAATATAAATTATTCTTAATTATTGGGTGACAACCATAAATCTTTCACCCAGGAGGCTGTTGTTTCTTCCTGGTGTGAAACAACATGTAGCCTACAACTTTGTCTCTTTACTTCAGTACTTCAATAACAGTACTTCAATAAAGTTAGTTATTTCAACCGAAAACAAATATTTTTTCCTAAACCCAGGTAGTTTTCACATGTCATTTAGCTGACGCTTTTATCCAAAGCGACTTACAATAAGTCCATAAGGATACAAACTCAGAAGAGCAAGAAACAAGAAAGTGTGAATTCATCAAATAAGCCAATTTACAACTTGCTAAATGGCATTATAAGTACAATTGTAATAAAACTGCTACAATTCATTTAGTTTTTTTAGTGGAGGTAGAGTGTGAAGAGGTGTGTCTTTACACACCTGGAAAGGAAGAAGGTCTGGAGCGATAGATTGTAGAAGATGTGATGGAATGGGGTCAAGAGGGCAGGTGGTCGGACTGGCAGAGGTTACTAGGGTAAGAACTTGGTTAGGATACGGGGGGGTGAAGGAGAAAAGTGAGGGCGATAGAGGTGAAGCCAGTGGGACACGAGTAGGAGGAGGTGGGTTTGAGAAAGAGGAGCGTATGTCAGCTATTTTCTTGGTAAAGTAGTTGACAAAATCACCCGGAAGAAGGGTGGAGGGGGGAGGAGGACTAGGGGGTTCGAGGAGGATGGAGAAGATCGAAAATAGTTTTTTGGGGTTAGAAAATGAAGATTCGATTCTGGATTGGTAGAAAGAGCTTTTGGCAGCAGAGACAGAAGCAGAAAAAGAGGAGAGAAGAGATGGAAATTCAGGGGGTCAAACACATTATTAAAAATAGCAGAAGGAGCCGCATTCAGCCGGCCTGAAGACTCCCACGAAAGACTCCCTGGTCTTTGTTCTGCTAGTCTTGACTCCCACGAAAGACTCCCTGGTCTTTGTCCTGCTTGTCTTCGTGCTGCGAGGATAAGATAACTCTTCACTCGATTTCTAGTTAAGTACTCCCTCGTTAGTGGAAGTCGGCTACGGCTGCGCTGACCACTCCCCCGTCGTTTAGGAGACAAAAGGTCGATCGGCCTCGACAGAGACTCCTCAAAATGCAAAACACCAATAGCTTGACACCCTAATCAGTGAACAATCACCATGTGGTGTTTTGACAAACTGAGAGTTCAAGAATTCAAGTCTTATTTGATTCAGATGAGAAGGCAAAACAGTCTTAGATCAGGTCAAACCTTCTTGTCTTGCTGGACCTCAGTGCTGCATTTGATACCATAGACCATTGTATCCTGTTGCAGAGACTAGAACATTTGATTGGTATCAAAGGAACTGCACTCACCTGGTTTATATCCTACTTATTGGATCGATCACAGTTTGTGCTTGTAAACGGTGAATCCTCGATGACCACCAATGTTGGTCACGGAGTCCCACAAGGTTCTGTACTTGGACCGATTTTATTTACCCTCTATATGCTTCCTCTTGCCGATCTTATCAGGAAACACCGCATAAACTTCCATTGTTATGTAGTCAACTGTATCTGTCGATCAAACCAGAAGAGACGGACCAGCTTGAAGAATGGAGACATCAAAACTTGGATGACCGGCAACGTCTTGATGCTAAACTCAGAAAAAACGGAAGTTATCCTGATAGGCCCAGAGCGCCTTAGAAGCCAGCTGTCACGTGATACAGTTTTTATGGATGGAATTGCTCTGGTACCCAGCAGCACCGTCAGGAATCTGGGAGTTCTCTTCGACCAGGATATGACCTTCAACTCGCATATAAAGAAGACTTCAAGGACTGCTTTTTTTCATCTACGTAACATATCAAAAATCAGGAACTTAAAATGAGTTCATGCGTTTGTCACTTCCAGACTGGACTACTGTAATTCTTTGTTATCAGGCTGCTCTTGTAAATCTCTTAAGCCTCTCCAGTTGATTCAGAATGCTGCAGCACGTGTATTAACAAGAACTAAGAAAAGGGATCATATCACTCCTGTATTAACTTCTCTGCACTGGCTCCTTGTTAAATCTAAAAAGAATAGATTTTAAGGTACTTCTCCTCACCTACAAGGCACTTGCTGGTGAGGCGCCGTCGTATCTTAAAGAGCTTGTAACACCGTATCAACTCTGCACTTCAACACTTTTGCCTTTTGAGGGGGGGGGGGGTTCTCGTTAGCATTAATGGAACAGGCACTCAAAACTATTTTGACCAAAGTAGGTTACAGACATCTCCTTAAGACCCCAAGGAACCACATCAACTTGTGGTGAAATGGGGACACGATGGGTCCTTTAAAGGCTAAACAGTAAACACCATCAAAAATGGACCGAAGCTGCTAACTTTATGCGCTCTTATTGTGAAGGGCTCACAGCCGTCTGTGCAGCACTTGAATGTTGATTCAGAACCAGAATGTCAACGTTCTGTAGGAAGGTTTATCTGTTGGGAGAATACATAAGAACAATGAAAAGCTTCGTGGCGTGCTGCTGTTCTACCATTGGCTCATACTGGATGAACCTCTGAATGACTTCATTTCAGATTGTGACAGAATGTTCATGAAGCAAAAAAACAAATGTAATAGCTCTTTCCAAACATCTAATAAGATTCACATAGAGGATCAGGAGTCACTGAGACTGGTCCATACAGAGGACTTGGATGTTCAGTAGCTGGAGATCTTCTGGACTTGGTCTGAAGGTCTCCTTCATCTCCGTCGTTTATCACAGACGTGAAGGTTCATTACAGAGTTCCTGTTCCTCCTCAAGTCTCTGGATGTCACCTTCTCGATGCAGTGAAGGTCGTGCAGATGTTGCGTGTGTGTGTGAGGGGGAGGGGGAGTTAGCCGTTATCTCCCCCCCATGTCGGCGGGACGAGGAGCTGCTGGACGGCCCCGGGCCCCGTGCAGCCTTGTATGGCCATGGCCCGCTGGGACGGGGACGATAAGCAGCCCCCGTGTTTAGAGCCACGTCTGCTTCTGTTAAATTTAGAGCCGCTATCGGACGCAGCCCCCCCTCCATGAAACACGCTCTTCTTCTGCTTCAGGACCACAAGCTCCCACTCAGCCCCGTCCAGCAGAGACCAGGTGGAGGTCCTGTGGAATCCAGTGTGCTGGAGGTGGTGTACTAATACTGTAGAGCTGCAATGATACTTTAGTGGTGTACTAATACTGTAGAGCTGTAGTGATACTTTAGTGGTGTACTAATACTGTAGAGCTGTAGTGATACTTTAGTGGTGCACTAATACTGTAGAGCTGTAGTGATACTTTAGTGGTGTACTAATACTGTAGAGCTGTAGTGATACTTTAGTGGTGTACTAATACTGTAGAGCTGTAGTGATACTTTAGTGGTGTACTAATACTGTAGAGCTGTAGTGATACTTTAGTGGTGTACTAATACGTAGAGCTGTAGTGATACTTTAGTGGTGCACTAATACTGCAGAGCTGTAGTGATACTTTAGTGGTGTACTAATACTGTAGAGCTGTAGTGATACGTTAGTGGTCTACTAATACTGTAGAGCTGTAGTGATACTTTAGTGGTGTACTAATACTGTAGAGCTGTAGTGATACTTTAGTGGTGCACTAATACTGTAGAGCTGTAGTGATACTTTAGTGGTGTACTAATACTGTAGAGCTGTAGTGATACTTTAGTGGTCTACTAATACTGTAGAGCTGTAGTGATACTTTAGTGGTGTACTAATACTGCAGAGGTGTAGTGATACTTTAGTGGTGTACTAATACTGTAGAGCTGTAGTGATGCTTTAGTGGTGTACTAGTACTGTAGAGCTGTAGTGATACTTTAGTGGTGTACTAATACTGTAGAGCTGTAGTGATACTTTAGTGGTGTACTAATACTGTAGAGCTGTAGTGATGCTTTAGTGGTGTACTAGTACTGTAGAGCTGTAGTGATACTTTAGTGGTGTACTAATACTGTAGAGCTGTAGTGATACTTTAGTTGTGTACTAATACTGTAGAGCTGTAGTGATGCTTTAGTGGTGTACTAGTACTGTAGAGCTGTAGTGATACTTTAGTGGTGTACCCGTCTCGTAGAGGTAAAGTGTTCTTTAGTGGTGTACTAATACCGTAGAGCTGTAGTCATTCTTTAGTTGTGTACTATTACGGTAGATATTATTTGCAGAGATCCATCTGAAGCCCCCTACATACCAGGACACTCGTTGAGATGAGATAGATTTGCTGTGCGAAGGTCTAACACCATCCTGACTTGTCCTCCTGCAGTGCTGCAGAGTCACATTGAATATTAGCATGATTATTATTATGGAGAGACCGAGAGGGAGGGAGAGAGAGAGGGAGGGAGGGGGGAGGGAGAGGGGGAGAGAGAGAGGGAGGGAGGGGGAGTCTGGGTGTTTGGTGGTCACACTCTTATTGTTTGTGTTTCTCGTCTCCACATCACTCAGCAGCCTTGTGTTGTTCTACCGCAGCAGAAGAGGAAGAGGAAGAAGAAGAGGAAAAAGAAGAGGAAGAAGAAGAGGAGGAAAACTCTTCTTGTGTTGCTTTGAGATTCAGTTTTTGTTCCGTCAGAGTGTCGGTAGGTTTTCATTATTCATACTCAGTCTGATATGTAACTGTGTTATTTCATAGTACTGCATCAGATTAGTAATTAGTATAGCAGTACATTTGATGTACTACTACAAAGAGGCAGTGTGTGATTAGTTATATGTCATCGGTCCATAAAATAAAACAAACAAAAAAGACAAAACAAAATTAGTTTTAAATTGAAAAACAGAAGCTTTCTTATATTGATGTATGCCTTTTGTTTTTAGAGCAGAATAATATTTTAAAACCATTTAAAGTCCCACTTAGAAAAAAGGTAGTAAAAATGATTTCTTGCATTTTCTTTTTCTTTGGGGAAATAATTTCAACAATCCACAATTATTATTTTTAAAAAATGAAGCGGCTTAATTGTGTTATGTTAAGGTCAATACAATTTTTTATATGATGAAGTGACTTCAAATACGCTTTATCAGAAGGTAGAGAAAAGAGTTAGAAGTTATTAATGTTCATTTACAAAAAAGCCGGAGAGAGAGACAGTTTACTCTCCTCTCCGTATCTTTCAGGTGTCACCATGAGCCGACCCGGGACCTCGGCACCGCTCTCCACCCATCTGCTGCTCTTCCTGTCCACCGTCATCTCAGCCACACTTGCGGGTTCCCCGGCCTTCGCCGCCAACGACACGGTCGGCAACAGCACCAGGTGCGGGGGGGGCAGTGTCTGCGTGGAAGGCGTCATCCTGCCGATGTGGAAGCCGGAGAACCCTGCCTTCGCCGACCGCCTGGCCAGGGCCACCGTGTACTTCGTGGGGCTGGCGTACATGTTCCTGGGCGTGTCCATCATCGCTGATCGCTTCATGGCGTCCATCGAGGTCATCACCTCCCAGGAGAGGCAGATCACCATCAAGAAGCCCGACGGGGAGAAGGTCACCGCCACGGTGCGCGTCTGGAATGAGACAGTGTCCAACCTGACCCTGATGGCGCTTGGTTCCTCCGCGCCAGAGATCCTCCTGTCGGTAGTGGAGGTGTGCGGTCACAACTTCGATGCCGGCGAGCTGGGCCCCAACACCATTGTGGGGAGCGCCGCATTCAACATGTTCGTCATCATCGGCTTCTGTGTTTCCGTCATTCCAGAGGGGGAGACCAGGAAGGTCAAGCACCTCCGGGTGTTCTTCGTCACCGCCGCCTGGAGCGTCTTTGCGTACATCTGGCTCTACCTGATCCTGGCCGTCTTCTCCCCGGGCGTGGTGGAGATATGGGAGGGTCTGGTAACACTCTTCTTCTTCCCTATTTGCGTCGGATTCGCGTACGCCGCCGACCGCCGGCTCCTTTTCTACAAGTACATGCGCAAGCGGTACAGAGCAGGGAAGCAGAAGGGAATGATCATCGAGACGGAGGGAGAACCCGAGCTTCCCCCGAAGGCCGACATCGAGATGGACGGGAGGATGCTCGCCGCCGACAGAGAGGAGTACGATTTCAAGGAGCCAGATGAGGAGGAGGCCCGCAGGGAGGTGGCCCGCATCCTGAAGGAGCTGAAGCAGAAGCATCCCGAGAAGGACATGGAGCAGTTGACAGAGCTTGCCAACTACCAGGTTCTGACGCTGCAGCAGAAGAGTCGGGCTTTCTACCGCTGTCAGGCCACCAGGATCATGACAGGAGCGGGAAATGTCCTGAAGAAGCACGCCGCCGACCAGGCCAAGAGGGCCGCCCGGCACGACATCTGCTCTGAGGTTTCGGTGAACGACTTCTCCACCAAGGTGTTCTTCGACCCTTGCACCTACCAGTGTCTGGAGAACTGTGGCACCGTGGCGCTGAATGTCGTGCGCCGCGGCGGAGACCCAACGAGTGCCATCTCGGTGGATTACCGTACCGAAGACGGCACCGCCAACGCCGGCTCGGATTACCGGTTCACCGAGGGAACCATTGTGTTCATTGCAGGGGAGACCGAAAAGGAACTCCGCATCGACATAATCGACGACGACATCTTCGAGGAGGACGAGCACTTCCTGGTTCACCTCAGCAACGTGAAGGTCATATCAGAGGGCGCCGGCTGGGACGGGCTTAAGGCAAACCACCATGACCCCCTCGCCAGTTTGGGCCTGCCGTGCTCGGCCACCGTCACCATCTTCGACGACGACCACGCGGGGATCTTTACCTTCGAGAATCCGGCGCTTACCGTAAGCGAGAGCGTTGGGGTGATGGAGGCGAGGGTGGTCCGGACCTCAGGAGCTCGCGGGGTCGTGGCGGTTCCGTACAAAACCAGGGAAGGAACAGCTAAGGGGGGTGGCGAGGACTTTGAGGACACGCACGGTGTCCTGGAGTTCGAGAACGATGAGATCTTGTGAGTACAAATCTTCCGTGTCAGGTCTGTGAGTCCTCTGCTATGCATCTTGGATATTTGAACCGTATGTCTGTTTACTGTTTGATGACTGATGATTCTTTTCTCGCTAAAGTGGCGTCTAGACAAAGGGCCCTCAATTCACTAAAGTTCATGAATTAATCAGAAGAAGCCGGTTGATGTGTCAGACTAGTTTAAACACAGAGCTCACGGTTGTTTCTGTGGGGCCATGGTCTATTAGGGAGGGGCCAAGGTGGACCTCAATCAGAATTGGGGGAGATGCTCTAAAAAACACCAGTTCATGTTTGTAAGAAGTCAGGTAAAATAATCCTTAGCAAAGTGGAAAACAACAAGAGAATGAAAAGAAAACAAATAGTCAAACAGTAAAAGGTATAATTAATTAGTGAATAGAGTATAAGAAATAGAATATAATCAGATTATCATCATATTTTAAATCAGGAACTATGTCATGAAAGCATAACAGAAATGTGAACATTTTGGTTTCTCCTCTAGAAGCTCAATGATAGCTGGTATGAGGGGGGGGGGGGGGGGTCTGTCTGTATCTCCTCCTCCGGTCAGGTGACTCCCCCAGGTTTACATGCCTCACTCAGACTATTTCCATTTCTGCAGGGCAGTTGGAATTTAATGACAACACGTTTTATTTCCAGAGCATAAATAGTCGTTGTGTCGGCGTATCAATGAGGATGCTGCAGAGCCGTATATGGACACAGTTATTGATGATATATTAGTGGTGCGGAGGAAGATCACAGATCAGCATACAGACAAAAGGGATCAAGTATATATTTTAGATCTGTGAACATGATTATAATTATTATTATCATCGATGATCCGTACTGACAACTAGAGATCCCTTTGTTGTTTGGGTATCACAGCTGGTCTACAAGGATCCACAATAATTATTTTAGTAAACCGACCCAAGAATGATTTCAACATTCTGAGGTTACGAAACCATTAAAAACTCTAAATGTTATTTTTTTTAAACCTTTTTTTAGTAAATTATTGTATAAAGTATGGAGTATGGAAGTCAAACACGTCCTAGTTTATGTCTAATATCTATTTCATATTTATGGGAAAACATCTACTACATAGTTTATCACCAAAAGTGTTACAGATGAACACATTTCCACGTCATGATAACGTTACCGATAATCTTCTGGGGTTTACTGGGCAGAGCCTGAACGCATCACAATGTAACTGGAGTGAACCCTGTTAGTTAGATGCAAGCTGTTAGTCGTTAGCTGTTAGCCATTGGTGGTGCAGCTAACTGTTTACCATGTCACATGGTCAGAGACAGAGTCACATGTTGTCATCATCATCATCGATGACTTCACTGAAAGTTGGAGGATGAAGCTTACAGATAAATCAACCAGTATACAGTAATGAAGTTTAGAAGTTTGCTGGTGTGAGGTCCTGGTGGGTTTGCAGAGATCTTCAGTTCCCCTTTAAACATACGAAGAGGTAGAAATATTCACTTAAAGTGATACTGAGTCTTTTAGGTATCTATAATTTGTTTTACTGTTTTCTACATTTGCTGAAATAATTGAATAACTGACAATACTGAATTGTCTTTTCTGATCATAGTCCACAAGAAGTAAAGATCTTTGTGTAGTTTCTCATCTGTTTGTTGTCGTTTAAAGCCTCACATTTGGCTTTTTTGCCATCGCCATCTTATTTTTTGAAACCAGTAATCAGGAAGTGACAAAATATGAACAGGGGAGGATGTATAGTCCTGTCAATCAGTGTGCAACCCCGCCCTAAAGCGTCCCTACTTTATGGTCCGTTTGACTCTAAATGGACCATAAATCACTAAATGAACATCATGTTGTATTGAAGAAGACTTTACACTAGAGACTGAGACCATAAACTCATGTTTACAATGTTTACTGAGGGAATAAATCCAGAGAGAAGTAGAGTCATTTCCTCATAGACGTCTATGGGAGCAGAGGAGTCGCCCCCTGCTGGTCACTACAGAGAAGTAGAGTCATTTCCTCATAGACGTCTATGGGAGCAGAGGAGTCGCCCCCTGCTGGTCACTACAGAGAAGTAGAGTCATTTCCTCATAGACGTCTATGGGAGCAGAGGAGTCGCCCCCTGCTGGTCACTACAGAGAAGTAGAGTCATTTCCTCATAGACGTCTATGGGAGCAGAGGAGTCGCCCCCTGCTGGTCACTACAGAGAAGTAGAGTCATTTCCTCATAGACGTCTATGGGAGCAGAGGAGTCGCCCCCTGCTGGTCACTACAGAGAAGTAGAGTCATTTCCTCATAGACGTCTATGGGAGCAGAGGAGTCGCCCCCTGCTGGTCACTACAGAGAAGTAGAGTCATTTCCTCATAGACGTCTATGGGAGCAGAGGAGTCGCCCCCTGCTGGTCACTACACAGAATGCAGCCTTAACACATGAAGCTCTGACTTCACTTCATTGAAGCAGAGGATGCTGCCTGTTCCTGAAGTGCAGAACTCACATGAGGAGCAAACCTCTCTGTCAGGAGGTCCTGCTCTCTCTTACAGTGCATCCATATCTTATTGCGTGGTGATCTGTGGATGCTGGATGGCTGTCGTGAGGTGTTGGATATGTTTGGTTCATTCACAGACTGCGTGTGACCACAGCTTCACCTCATGTGACACAGGTTCGGCAGTGTAGCACACAGGGCCTACCTACAGTATAGAATCTGATATATATAGATAGAGAGAGAGGGAGGCAAGGGCCGCTGGTCAGAGCAGCATTTCTGCCTCTGAGCTCTTTACTTACAAACAAACACAGTAGTTGTGTGAATTGTTCGGTCAGTGGCGGCCTGCAGAACTCGGGTCTGTCTCTCAGTCTTCTCCACGTCACGGGGCGAAGTGGTCGTCTCACGTGTCTTTTGTCCTGTGTGATAAACATCACGCAGCTCTCTTCCATATTAGGCCGGCTTGTGTTGAGCAGCGATCCTGCTCATCGTCCAGCACTCGCCCCGTAAAGAAGACAGATGAGTGCAGCCGGTTACTCTCAGAGACCACCGGGGGGGGGGGCATTCCTGCTGCAGAGTAGTTAACTGCACAAACCGCCATCACAGCACAGCATGCTGGGTAACATGATAAGAACTGTGAACATGGAGCGCTTTGTGTTTTATGTCAAAATAATCAGATTCTCATTCAGTAAACATCCACATTACTCCAGCACCAGCAACAGGGAGCATTAGATCTGTAATAAACTGTTAGATAATAGATCTGATATAAACTGTTATTGAAAGTTGAAACATTATTTCATTATAGAATAACAGATTTTTAATTTATTGAATTGAATTATTAATTATTAAAGCAAACGTTTGTAACAAGAATTACTCAGAAATGATTTGTTTTCCTGCACATCTGAAAAGATTCAGCCTCTCCCTCCTCTCTGAGGCAACCTTTGGATCCTAAAACACAACAATTACTGTGCTGTAAAATGTACTGTAACATGTATCATCTCATCTGTTGTTTGGCCGGAGAATTTGTACTATTGACGCTGAACTGTTGAGCGGTGCAGATTTGGCTGCAGCCTCAGACCGGCCTCTCACAGTGAGACCATTTATTTCTTCCTCTCCTTTGTCCTCCACACTCTCCCTCACATCCCTCCTCTTTCCCCACCGACCGGCCTTCTGTGATCCATATTTCCAATCAAAACCAGTTCCAAGCTGTCGCCTTTTACTGAAACATGGTAGTGAGACTAAAGCGGGATACTTGGGTCGGCTTTGAGCTGAAAATGCAATTATCTTGGAAAAAATCTTTTTTCTGCTGATCTTCTACATTTCAAAATAATTACTACGGAAATTTTGTTGTCTCCCTTTTTCTGATTTGTACTTTTATCAGTTTTGCAAGCATTGTGTTAGCAATTGAAAAATATTATTTTCTTTTGTTCATCCAATTTTTGCAGTTTGTGGATTTTGAAAAATGTGGTGATTGATGCATTTTGTTTGACAGCAGTGAAAAAGGATTCACAGTTTGGTCTGTATACGCTTGTGTGTCACTGTGTGAAAACCTTTGTTTCAGTATTGATACTATTACTTGTTGGCAATTGTAATCTAGTCGGCATCTTGGTTTCATGTCACAAATCCATCAGCAGCTGAAACAAACGTACCAAGATGTGCGAGTGTGAGAGTGTTTCCAACTTGTTTACACTTGTATCTGTTGTCATTGTTACCGGTGTGTGTGTCTGTCTGTGTGCGTGCGGCCTGGTGATGAAGTGGCGCCCCCCAGTTTGGGAACCACTGATCTAACCGTCATTGTCGAGGTTTTCTACAACCCTCGTGCATGCGTATAGGGAACGTATTCCTGAAACATCATCTGTCTGTAGATGTTCCCATCAGATGCTTCAGCCTCTCATCTCTCCTCACCTCGTTTCCTCGTTACAGCCGTCTGCACACTTTTCCTTCTGCAACCTTTCTGTGTGTTTTTTTCTGTTTCAGCAAAACTATTCAGATCAATATAATTGATGATGAAGAATATGAGAAAAACAAGAACTTCTTCCTAGAGATCGGAGAACCTCAGCTGCTGGAGATGAGTGAGAGGAAAGGTGGGGGTGTCGCCTTCCCGTGCTGTAACCCCCCCCATCACTCATTACCTTTAACCTCTGACACCTCAAGCTCACCTCAAGACCTCACAGGGAGGATCTGTGAGAGCCACATCTAACTTCATCACCTCAGAACCACTGAAGAAAGATGCTGAACTTGAAGATCACATCATTTCCTTTCCTTAGAAAATTTACATTTATTTAACGTCAAGAAAACAACTTTGGAGCTGTAGAGAGAAAGTTAGACCTGACTAGGAGAAGTGTCTAGTAAAATCCTTTGAATAAAGAGAAGATAAACAAAACAGCATAATATAGGTTTTATCTGCATCATTTGTGAGCTCTGTGATTGGATGTTTGTAACTCAAATGCATCATGGGATACGTAGTTGGTTTATCTTCTACAGTTTGTTTCCTATTGATCAACGAAGTCCAAAAATCAAACTTTTACTATCCAAACTAGCTATTTAAATGACTACTACTTTGCTCAGAGGTGCAGACACCACTCTACACGACAGGAAGCCGTGGTGAATTCACCCTTCAATTAGATGTGACCATGAAGGAAATACCTCGAGCCTCCTCCCTGCTGGGCCAGATGAGGTGAGCTCATCCCTGTTGCCACGGTGCTGCCGCGGTGACTCGAGCACCATGACGGAGTCCCGCCGCATCGTATCCGTGGGCCTCTACGAGTGTGTGTGTGTTTGTGAACTAACGCATGACCCCTGACCTCCCCTCCCACTTACTCTGTCGTCCGCAGGAAGACCATAGCAGTTAGAGTAATTGACCGTGACGAGTATGATAAGCAGGCCAGCTTCTACATAGAGCTGCAGGAGCCGTATCGGAACCAGAGAAGATGGACAGGTGTGGGGAGACACATCTGAGCTGTCCTTCATCCATCCTTCCTGCTTTTGTCTGCTTTGCTCCTGCTGCTTTTGCTTCTCCTACGTTGTCAGAGGATTGAATGGGCTTCATCAGTGGTCCTCACCACCATCGTTTTATTGCCCCAGATGAGCCAAAGAGAAGCTCCACGCTGGGAATGAAAACAAGTTTAGGTCCAAGAAACGATCCTGCTTTTGGTTCAGATATGCTTGTTTGTACATAAGTCATGTAACAACAGTAAGTTGATTCTGGCTTTCAAACAGGACCCTGACAGCGGGCTGCTGGTCAAAGTCCTGCGTCAGTTTAACTATCCAACCTCTTCTTCTTCTTCTTCCATTCACATGGTCACATAATTGGAGGATTATGGTCTTCTGAACCTACTAACATGTGTAGCAGCCCTCTTTTACCTCATACCTACACGGCTGATTACATTGGAAGTGCCAATTGCAACAACCAGCTGAGCCATGTTGGTTCAGACTGGTTGGCCGTGGTTTAGACTGGTCCAGATTAAGTATGGGGTCAAGAGAAGTGAAGTTAGGAGTGTCGACAGGACAGGTTGGAATGGGACTAAAGTGGACTAGTGGTGTTGGTGGGTTAGAACTGGCTGGGAAGGATTGGGACTCATTAGTTCAGGTCAGACCAGGTCTGGTAGTTTGGAGGAGATGAGGATTTGTGAGAAAGCGCTCGGAAAGATTAGGAATGAAAAGAACGTCAATTAATTAAGGACGTAGTGGGACATTTAATGACAGTTTTGGACGAGATAGGACAAGTTAGAACTAGTGTGGTCGGTTGGTTAAGGGGACTGGTTAGAACTGTTCAGGTCCGAAGAAGTTTGTCCCTGTCCAGGTAAACCTGCCTGCATGCTTTGACTTTAACACTAAACCCCCCATGCTTTGACATACTACTGACACAGGAAACGTTTAAACACAATGATGCATTGTCAGGTAGTTTTCCTGCTCCATTTTATGTTCCTCAGAAGGAAGTTCTTCATGCTTGATACCATCATCTGGATTGGAACGCGGTCCTGTTGTCGTATTCTTTGTCATATCAGGACCAAATCCTTTTCTTTCCATGTTCAGAAGATCTGAGCTCCTCTTTTTAACTCCTTGTTTCTTTTTTCTCTCTGATTTGATCTTTCCTCTGATTCTTCTCTTCAGCTGTGTTGCTTCAGGAAGTCGGTAAGCTGCTTTTTGCGTTTCTGTCTGCTGTTTGTCTCATTCATCATACCTCTGAAATACATGTCATGAGAAATGACAGTCAAATCGCATTCTGACCTCTTGTTTCATATTTTCTATCCTTTCAGGTGGATTTGTCAAAACAGGTGGGTGAACCCTTTCTCTGCATTGTCGCATTCGTAGAAAAGGATACTGAACTCTTCCTCGGATTTGTCCAGTTTGACAAGGAGCTGTATGGTAAAACTCATTGGGGGAAACAGGTACTTTAAAGTGTTTGACACGGACAATAAGAAAGAGGCAACACTTCATCACAGTCTCACAGCATTTGGTGAAATACTCACATGATGAATCTATTGGTTTCTTGTAACTACTGTATATGTATTAGTTATGTTAACGGGCAAAAGTTCTGGTTCTAACGTTGACTGCGGCTCAGTATTAACAAGGCAAAAAGGCATCCAGCAGAATGTACATACGACATAAAGCTTGGTAAAGTTATGAGCACAAACTAAATGTCCTACACGCAAAGTAAAAGCTATAAAACAAAAGCAAGCCCAAAAGCCAGCGACTAGAAGACACAAAGAAGTGCTACCCTGAGGGAACTACTGGGTTTGACTACAGGGGAGGTCTGATGAGTGAACGAAACACAGGTGAGCAACCAACCAGGTGGTAAACCAAACAAAGACAGGAAGTAAACTGAGGACGAATGGCTGAGTGAATAAGAAACTAAAACAGGAAGTGATTGTCATTGTTCACGTCGTTACTTGACCTTCTGCCTTTTCCATTGAGGTCAAGGAGAAGGAATAAGGAAAATACTTTAGGATGAGTAACTCAACCTCTGACCTCTGAAGGGAAATAATGGCTTTCAACCTGACATTTATTATGTCAGGTTTGTTGTATGTATCTTCAGACAAAACCCCCGTTGGTGATGCCGACATTGTTCTTTGGTTCATGCAAAGACAGGAAGACAACTCCCATGAACATGGTCTCGGGTCTGGTTCTTGTTGAGGTTTAGTTATCTAGATCTTCTTTGGTCTGTTGTTGACATCAGTTTCTTCTGGTTCCCTGTTCAGGCAGAGACGTCTACAGGAAAGTCCAAGGACGAGACCACCCGGCCCCCTCAGCCGTCATCAGCATCACAGGTACGTCTGTCTAAAGGTCCACTGCCATCTTATTCCTTCACCTCCTCCACATCATCCACCCTACTATCAGTCTGCCAGTTACACGATACTCTCACTATCTCATGACATTAATGGCATCCTCTTTCTCTCTCCCACAGATGAGGGGGGTGAGGAGGTTTTGACCAAGAAGGAGAAGGAGGAGAGGAGAATTGCAGAGATGGGTCGACCGATGCTGGGCGAGCACATCAAACTGGAGGTCATCATTGAGGAGTCGTACGAGTTCAAGGTTGGTTCAGTTTCTGCTCATCCCATTTCATAATTAGAAACAAATTAGGTTTAATTAATGTGAAGAACACAATGCGACTTGTTGCCAGGCCTCTCTAACCTGTCCTTCTTGGACCTTGGTGATTCACTGTGGTCTTTCAGAGCACCGTGGATAAACTCCTGAAGAAGACCAACCTGGCCCTGGTGATCGGGACCAACAGCTGGAGAGAGCAGTTTGTGGAGGCCATCACAGTGAGCTCTGGTAAGAACTTCCCCTGAGCCAATCGAATACATGCTTTAAACGTGAATCAGTGTCGACTCCTGGATCTCTGCCTTCCTCTCTTGCCTCCTGGCTCTCTGCCTTCCCCTCTTGCCTCCTGGATCTCTGCCTTCCTCTCTTGCCTCCTGGCTCTCTGCCTTCCCCTCTTGCCTCCTGGATCTCTGCCTTCCTCTCTTGCCTCCTGGATCTGGATCTCTGCCTTCCTCTCTTGCCTCCTGGATCTCGGCCTTCCTCTCTTGCCCAGGTGGTGATGACGATGATGAATGTAGCGAGGAGAAGCTGCCCTCTTGTTTTGACTACGTCATGCACTTCCTCACCGTCTTCTGGAAGCTCCTGTTTGCCTTAGTTCCTCCGACGGACTACTTCAATGGCTGGGCCTGCTTCGTCGTCTCCATCTCCGTCATCGGCCTTCTGACGGCGTTCATCGGTGACCTGGCGTCGCATTTCGGCTGCACCGTCGGCCTCAAAGACTCCGTCACGGCTGTGGTGTTTGTGGCATTGGGCACATCTGTACCAGGTCTGACTCAATTACATACAATTCTTTACATTTGGCAGATGCGGTTGTCCAAAGCGACTTCACACAATTGGTAACAAATGCTACAGATTTAGAGTCTGCATTGCTTTAATCCGGAGTAAGACCCAACTTCCAGGTTAACACCAGTTATGAACCAAAATTCAACAGAAATTCTTTGAGCACACCCAATATTACAGGTGTGTTAAAGCATTATCAATAAACTGAAAAAAAGGTTTACTCTCTTCAGGGGAACTCAACTGGTTTACCTTCCCTTCCATAATTGTGAGACAGATTCATCAAAAGGAGAAATGGTTTTGACATCATGTCGTTTAGTCCCATCTAACATAAAAAAACAAAGCTAACATTGCCAATAATGCCAAGATGCTGTTTTGCTCAGTGTCTGGTTTGTTTACCAGACACTGAGTGGTCTTTTGAACCACACACCTAACACAGAGCTTCTTTTAGAAACCTCCAAGCCAAAGCTGAAGTATTACATCCTCCTCCTGAACAGGCCGAGGAGGACTAACCAGGACTTGTGAACCTTTGTCAGACACCAATCTGTACAGCAGTTGAATCCACTTCAAATCCATCTCAAACAAAGACAACCGTCTCCCCTTTCTCTCCCCCTCAGACACCTTTGCCAGTAAGGTGGCAGCCATCCAGGACCAGTATGCCGACGCCTCAATCGGCAACGTTACAGGTAGTAACGCTGTCAACGTCTTCCTGGGTATTGGCGTGGCCTGGTCCATCGCTGCCGTCTACCACTACTCCAAGGGCCAGCAGTTTAAGGTTGACCCGGGCACGCTCGCCTTCTCCGTCACGCTCTTCACCATCTTTGCATTCATCTGCATTGCTGTGCTCCTCTACCGCCGGCGGCCCGAAATCGGCGGGGAGCTCGGCGGACCCAGAGTCCCCAAGATTCTCACCACCTGTCTGTTCTTCAGCCTGTGGTTGATGTACATTGTCTTCTCCTCGTTGGAGGCCTACTGCCACGTAAAAGGCTTCTGAAAGTTCTGCTTTCTGTCGGGTCACCGAAGGTTCTGTGGTGAAAACTTTTCAGGGCCTTCTAAGGGTTCCAGTAGGTTCCTGCATATTCTGATGGGTTCCTTTGATTTGTGTTATTGGTCTCAAAAGGTTGAAGATATCCAAAGGTTGTAACAGCTTTGTGAGAGTTGATGCATACCTCAAGCTTCTGAAGTAAATCTTCTGACAGCTCTCCTGGATGAACTCTGAACCGGGTTTGAGGTTCCTGAATCCTAAAAATATAATATTCTACTGGATCATATTCTCTAAATGTCTAACAAATTCAAAACAACTTTTATGGCTTATACATTACTTAAAGTTCCTATGTGTTCCTGCATAATGTGACAGGTTCATTTTCCTGACGGTTTGGATGAACTTTAAAGTGTTCTGCCAGGTTGTGTCCAGTTTCTATAGATTGTGTTGTTTGTCTCAGGATTTAAAAGGTCAGTTGATGACAGTTGATGGATATCATGTTCCAGTAGGTTCCTGCAGATTGTGAAGAGCTCCAGGTATTTGTTCAAAGTGTCTCAATAAACATCCGGATCCTGTTTTGGTTCCAAAATGTTATTATTTCCTATTATTTCTATTATTTGTCAAAAGGAAAGTTATATAATTATAATGCTTATAACGGGTCCCTGACCATAGATGTATATCTGAAAGCGCTGGTGGATATTTAGCATAATTAGCAGCCAAAGCTTTCGACTTCTTACTAGAACCCGAGAGGCTTTTCGAGGCGACAGCGTTGCACCTCAACGAATATCTGCACGAGTTTGAAATGTAGTTCTTCTAAAAGTGAAAATCAAACAGATCCAGGTCAAGGTATTTTGTGTGTTTGTGTGCATTCGTAACCGAGTAGAGGAAACGGCCTGAATGATGTTCTTTCATGTGATTGGCTGTCTGGAAACAGCAGCTGCCCATTGGATGATGGACATGAGAGCTGATGAGACAGAGAACTGTGTCCTTTCTTCAGATGTTAAAGTCCAGCGTTGTCTTTAGGTTTGTGGATATTTAGCCTCTGATTGGTCTACAAATATATTTGAGTGAGTCTTAATGACACATTTTAATATGATTATGTTTAGCAAGATACTTGATATGTCGAAGCATAATACATCATTTTTCAACATACTATACTAAAATGTTTTATGGTATTATTGACATATTCGACTATGTTTGTTTTTCATATTCTTCCACTAAAATACAAAAATGATTCACGACGGTCTCTGAAACACTATGCGGGTAATATTACACCCATGAAATAGTTACTTTGTAACATAACGTAATAGTGACTCTTGTATGGGGTATACAGGTATATATAGTACACTCTAAATGTCTTTCCCGGTGTGGCTGGTTTGTGGCGTGAAATTGAGATGTTGTGGAAATGATACTTTAAGACCATAAAAAGATGCCATACAACGGTTGTGTTTATTGTTTCAATCATACAACAAGTCCCTCACGTGTTGCAGAAAGCTGCAGCTCATCAACCTCCACCACAGCCGCAGCCGCTGAGCATCATGGGAACATGTTAGAAAACAATTCTACTCCAACAGGAAGTGTGTGTGTGTGTGTGTGTGTGTGTGTGTACGTGAATGTGAATGTGTGTGTGTGTGTGTGTGTGTGTGTGTGTGTACGTGAATGTGAATGTGTGTGTGTGTGTGTGTGTGTGTGTGTGTGTGTGTGTGTGTGTGTGTGTATGTGTGTGTGTGTGTGTGTGTGTGTACGTGAATGTGAATGTGTGTGTGTGTGTGTGTGTGTGTGGGGGGGGGGGGGGTCACGGCTTGTTTTAACTAAAAACTCCAAAAAGAAAAAGTCTTTAACTTGAGTCCCGCATTTAACACCCAGCTGGAAAAAAAATTGGCATCCTTTCACTCCAACTCGCTCTTTGAGAAAGAGAAAACACAAGTTGGACAAGTGCACACCCGGAAAAACCCTAACACCCGGGGTGTGTGTGTGTGTTCCCCTCAAAGTGGTGTGGGTGTGTGAGAGAGACAAAAAAAGCGCGCGGATTTCTTTAAAATGGGGGGACTCTGTGAGCACGCGCTACAAACGTGCAAAGCTGAAGGGCCCTTTTTGTTGGTGGGGCCCAAAACCCCCACAACAAATAATTACACAATTATACACAAACAAACACTAAAAAAAACACCCTTTTTGTTTTCCCCCCCCCCTTTTTTGT